GGGATTCCCCCACCTCCTCCCTTGCCAGGTATGGGGATTCCACCTGCTCCAGCTCCCCCACCCCCTCCACCTGGGACAGGAATCCCACCGCCCCCTCTGCTTCCTGCATCAGGCCCTCCACTCCTCCCACAAGTTGGGAGTAGCACTTTACCAACCCCACAGGTGTGTGGATTTCTTCCTCCTCCATTGCCGAGTGGCTTGTTTGGATTAGGGATGAATCAGGACAAAGGGAGTAGGAAGCAGCCCATAGAGCCTTGTCGACCAATGAAGCCTCTTTACTGGACCAGGATTCAACTACATAGTAAAAGGTAACATGAAAGTGAGCTCATCTTTGCATAGTGTGTGTCAGTATTAGGGAAGTGTTTACTGTCAAACTCGGGAAAATTACCGTTGAATGTATTTTTAAGCACAGCTCTAAAATTTGTCTAGATTTTTACATCAGTATATAGTGCAGCAGCTTGCTATGTAAAGCTTTAGGCTTTTCTCCAGAAGTACCAAAGGTGTAAAACAAATATATATATTTATCAATGTATGAGACGTAGGTATATCCATCTATATAGTTATTGATATATCTCTTAAAGATTGAGGGATATATTTTTCTTAGCATACATGCTCTGTTATCTAATTGTAAGAGTGCGACTCATGCCTGAATTCCAGTGAAACTATGCTTTTATGACCTCTGGAAAATGAATGAGGGCAGGTAAGCAGAAAAATTTGTAGCCAAATTATTTTCCATGTAAGAATCTACTCCTTGCTTTCACTACTTCAAGCTTCCATTTCTGACACACAGCTTAAAAATGTAAATCAAATTCTTAAGTAAACTGACTCTGGAGCATGGTTTAGTGCACACTTTAAAATGCACAGCCCCGGGGCAGGGCGTGGTGGCTCACGCCTGTAATCCCCGCACTTTGGGAGGCCGAGGTGGGCGGATCATGAGGTTAGGAGATCGAGACCATCCTGGCTAACACGGTGAAACCCCGTCTGTACTAAAACTGCAAAAAATTAGCCGGGCGTGGCGGTGCGCGCCTGTAGTCCCAGCTAGTCGGGAGGCTGAGGCAGGAGAATGGCAGGAACCCGGGAGGCGGAGCTTGCAGTGAGCCGAGATCGCGCCACTGCGCTCCAGCCTGAGCCACAGAGGGAGACTCCGTCTCAAAAAAAAAAAAAAAAAAGCACAGCCCTGCTTTACAATCCCATCTTGTAGGCTTTCTTCAGAAACATGCTACACAAAAATACACATATCCACACCCCAAGTGTGAAATAATTTAGTTTTGAAAATTTCATGACACTTCTGTCAATCATTGGCAACACAGCACAAAGTCATACAATCATAGCTGGGAATAATCATCATAAAAGAATACTTTCCACCAGGTATTCTGGTGGCATTTTATACATTCATGCATCATCTATAAACCGTGTTCCCTAGACATTGAGACAATGCTGTGATACTTGGCTGTGGAATGTGTAGGTGGCAGGGGAAAACGTACACTTTAAACCTCACTAGCCTGCCTTGTTCTAATGTTTCATGATTCCTTGAATTTCCTTTGTGTGTGTGGCATGCATTTAGAAATGGTATTTGCCAGGTTCGTTTTCATTTCTTATATGAATTTGTCTACTCTCTAAACCATATCGGGGGCAAGAAACTGTATATTGTGATGACTTCTAATTTTTCAGTTCGTCTTCTATGTTGTTACCACTCCACTTATGTATGTGGGTGATTCATTTTAAACTGTGCCCCAAAGTCATTTCTCCAGATATGACACGGGAAGTTCTCGTGTTTTGTTATTGCTTTGCTTTTTTAAAAATGTGTTTACCCTTTTTAGGTGGTATTACATGAATCTGCGGTCACTGAGAAGACAAATAACAATGGGGTGATGGGAGACAGTAGGAGGGAGAGGATGCCATCCTGGAAATGTGTGTTTTTTAACCCATGAATAATCTGCAGAGGTGATAAGTTGGGATTTTGAGATATCAAACATTTCTTGCCTCCCTAGCCCATACTGAGATAGGTTTTCTTTTTGCGTTTTTATACGGTGACCTGATAACTGAGGGTTTCTGGAAATTATTTCTGGGGTAAGATTTCATTCATGGATGGTATTTTAACTTTCCCAATAAGTGGATCAAACAAATGGTGGTCTTAAAGAAAAAGAATATTCTTTCCTTCTTATCTCTCGTCTTTTTCCCTCCCTCCTTCCTGCTGGCCTTCCTCCCTCCCTTTCTTCCTTTCTGTTTATGCTTACTGTGATGTAGTTCAGTTTGATGGCTGTTTTATTGTTCTTTTGCTTAATTTTAGAGACTCCAGTACTTCACTTATTTGGGAAAAAATTGAGGAGCCATCCATAGATTGTCATGAATTTGAGGAATTATTTTCTAAAACTGCTGTAAAGGAGAGAAAGAAACCTATCTCTGATACCATCTCAAAGACAAAGGCTAAACAAGTGAGTATTTTTTGTGCCTTATGAAATTGGACAGTGTTTCTGGCATAAGTGTGAACTGTCATTAGAGAAAACTTTGAAATAGTTTTTGGGCTGTGTAAACCTCCATGGATCTTAGGCAGATAGCAAGGGTTAGGACTTTAGAACATGTGGTTAAGTAAGACTAGCACAAATAGAACAACACATAATTATCTCCATCCAGTGATAATGTCCTGACTTTTATTCGTAACATCATAACACATATTTCCAAAGTCTCAGCCACTGTTTCTTTCCAGAATTAGTTGCCTAGAAATAAATTTTCATTTGATTTATATCCATCTGAGTGCTCCTATGGATGGAAAGAAAGGAAAAAGTGGGCAAAGGAAAACAAGCAAGAAATCCAATCCTTAGAAACTGATAATGTGTTTGGTATTTTGTTGCATTATATCTGAAGTGGATGCCATTAGAATCCAGTTAAACAGTTACACTGTACTTGAAATGTGGAAGAGAAGTCTTGTATCCATTTCTAACCTCTCTATTTTATGTTAGATCCTTTGATCTAACCTGTGACATTTTTGAGTCATAAAAAGAAAGATTGCTGCATTTCAAGAAAAACATTTCCAAGCAAAATTTTTCAACTGATATATCCATTGGGCTTGTCATAAAGGGATATTGTTATAAATTTCTCAGGGGTGTCATTTGGAAAGTAGAGTAAAACCTCATCATAATGAACTCCAGATAGAATTGCTAATGGTGCCCGTCTTTACCCTGAAATGGAGAGTGGCTACATTTCTTAACTTTTGCAGGGTGGCAGGAAAGAGGTCTTGGAAGCAAAGGAGTGGCAAGCAGCTCAGTCTTGGGAAGCAAAGAGGGAAAAATGAGACTGATGTCTCCAGTGTTCTCCTTGCCCAGTAGCGCCATAGGAGTTCCAGCTCATGGGCTGATTCCTCGAATTTTTGCCTCTGACCTGGAAGTAGTAGTTAGGCACATGACCTGGAGTTGTTTCCATTGATACTTATTTCAGAGCAGACAATGTTCACCAGACAGACATCGCCATATCCAGCCAGGAGAAGGTGAATTTCAATGGGACAGCTAGACCCTTGTAACCCATAGTTAGCTGGGTGAGCAGGCTCACCCCAGGCATTTTATTAATCTCAGAATAATTTAAACCCAAACATTATGCAGTTGAATTCTTTTAGAAATGCTTTTGTTGTATTATTGCTGGTTGCTGGTGACCTCAGGTCAGTAACATAGTGAACGAAATGGCACCTGGTACATCATAGGCACTCAGTAAATATTTATTAAATTAATCAGCTGACTAAGGGATGAAGACTTTATAAATATCAGTGGCTATGTCCAGCAGTGATTAAAAACCAGAAAGTTACTCATTTCATAATAAGCAGTAAGTCCAGGGTGACAATGTTAAGAGGAGTAATGGAAAATCATATTTTCTCTGGCAGAGATAAATATTTTAAAAATCCTTTCCACGGTATATTTGCATATAGTATGCTGAGGCTGAGTCATCGTGTCTCTTCTTTTGCGTTGTGTCAGAGATGTAAAATCTGTCTGAGTGGGGAATATGGGCGGGGCTTACATTGAGGAGAGTCGGGTAGCCAGAACTGTCACTTGACTAATGTGTAGATGTGGCATGGAGCGTCTCTTGTCCAGGGACCAAATACTCAGAAAATTGAGCCATGCTCTCCCTACTTCCAGCACCGCTTTTTTTTTTTTTGGCTAAGGGAATACAGATAAGGAAGAAGTCTCCCAGGATGACCAAGACTGTAGGATTTCATGCTCTGTTTGACTTAGTATTAAGTTTTAGCTTACTGAAATATGATTTACATCTAAATCATCAAACTTCAAATTAAACTAGTTGGCATGAAGGAATCTCTCTGCATATAAACAGTGCATCTGTGTTGAGCATCATCATCTTAAGATAATCTCCTCATTCTGTCATTAAGACATTTCATAAATTGTCGGTAAGAGACTTTGCCAATGTCCTCATTTGTGTTTATTGATAGTGACGCTACTGTTGACCTTCAGCTTCAAACAGGGTTTATGGGACAGTCTCCATCATGACTCCAGATAAACCTATTCAGCAACTCCTTGGCCTGGGGCTTGGTGCGGAGCTCTGCATTTCAGATCTGTTTTTGGAGGGATAAAAGATTTTTTTAAATGTATGTTAGAAAAAAATCACTACAAAGTGATGGATTGCTGAAGAAACATAGTTTTATTTAACTTCATTGTATTTGGAAGAAAAATCTGTCCACTCCATTTACTTGAGACATTTAAAATTTTGTTTAAGGAAAGTGTATTTTCAGGATGCATGCAAATTGTTCCCCTTTTTATGGGAAATGTGCACTGATCGTATGTGCAGACATTTTGGTACCTTATGATTCATTTCCAGTAAAATTAATAGCCTTTAATGCCATGGCATATGTTTATGGAGGTATTTCAAGCAATTCTTCTTATATACAATGGAAGCTGGAAGTTCTGTTTTTATTTAAATATTTAAAAATAGCCAAATAATTTTTCTGTGATCTGTCTTCTCCTTGAAAGTAAGACTGTGGTTGAATGCACTGGTGTTTAACGAGGTGCCTGTGCTGTTTTTACTGTCGTGGCAGAGACGTTTTCAGTGTGATAATAGAAGATTCTTCAGCTGGGCACATTGCCGTTTGGCATAAGGAGAAAGAGGGGTTATTTTCTCTGGATGCTCAGACTGATAGAAATGAAGAATATCTTATATTTCCAACTCCTTTTCTCTCCAAAGAACTTAAGACAAAGCATTTTATACTTTTCTTATGGAGCATGGATTTAAGTTTGTTCTATAATGACTTCATTTATCCTTCTTCACTTTGAAGTAACACACAAAAGATTAGCTGAGAAGGTACATAGAAGTTTGTCAGACTATAGTCTGACACAGTTTTTCAAACCCAAATGAGTGTGACACTTTGACATTAGAACTGTCTGATGTAGAGCCCCATCTCTTAAGGAATAAAGAGGAAAATAGAAAAAGTGATCTCATATGATGTTCGTGCTTAAGCATTCACACACATTCACACTTGCCCATTTTTAAGGAAGGCTCTAGAGCCAATAATATTTAGTCCAAGTTCCTCCCTATTTGCAGGGTAGTTCAGTGATTATTAATGTTTATAATGACCCTAAGTCACCTCAGGATCTTTGGTGATCAAATAAGGATTAAACAGTTTAACCTGCTGGGCGTGGTGGCTCACCCTTGTAATCCTAGCACTTTGGGAGGCCAAGGCAGGTGGACTGCTTGAGCCCAGGAGTTTGAGACCAGCCTGGGGAACATGGTGAAATTCTGAATCTATAAAAAATGTAAAAATTATCTGGCTGCAGTGGTGCATGCCTGTCATCCCAGGTACTTGGAAAGCTGAGATGGGAAGATCATCTGAGCCCAGGGAGGTTGAGTCTGCAGTGAGTTGTGATAGTACCACTGCACTCCAGCCAGGGTGACAGATGAAGACCCTGTCTCAGGAAAAAAAAAAAAAAAAATTTTAATCTGAGCTCATTAGCAGGAAAGTGAGAGAATTTACTTTGGAGTGATTTTGATAATAAGGGTTGCATAGTTTTTGGTTAATCTTCTATGAAATAATGTCATAAGGAAATAAATTTTGATAAACACGGTAGTAGTAGTAGTAGTAATAGTAGTAATTATTACAACAATAATAACCATGGAAACCATATCATGTCCATTATTTACCATGTACCAGTTACTGTTCTTAGCACTGTACTTACATCAACTCATATAATGCTCCTACTCGTATGAGACAGGCACCATTAGTCTCAGTTCATAGTATGGTTCATAGTACAGAAACCTCAGGTACAGAGATGTAGAGGAATTCAGTAATGTTTCCAAGCTGGTAAGGGGCTGAGCTCAGGTTCAAACTCCAGCCATCTGGCTGCAGAGCCTCTGCTCTTCCTAATTAAGTGATAATTATGGATGTGGAATATTTTATATGAGTGTAAGTGCAGTATTTTATATGGAGACCAGAATATATACTTTAAAAAATGAATTAAATACTTTAAAAAAAGAATTTGAATGTGTATTAGTTTTTCATATATGTTCTGTATTTAAATGACTGTGGTTATAAATAAAATTGTATGTGAGACACTTTTAAAACCTTTACCATGTTTTAGCAGATTTCTTTTTTCTTTTTTTTTTTAATGGAGTCTCACTCTGTTGCACAGGCTGGAGTGCAGTGGCGTGATCTTGGCTCACTGCAACCTTCCCCTTCCGGGTTCAAGTGATTCTTCTGCCTCAGCCTCCCAAGTAGCTGGGATTACAGGTGCAGGCCCCTGTGACTGGCTAATTTTTGTATTTTTAGTAGAGACGGGATTTTGCCATGTTGGTCAGGCTGGTCTCATAGAGACGGGGTTTCGCCATGTTGGTCAGGCTGGTCTCAAACTCCTGACCTCAGGTGATCCACCCACCTTGGACTCCCAAAGTGCTGGGATTACAGGCATGAGTTACCATGCCTGGCCAATATTTTAGCAGATTTTGACAAGTATATAAACTGTGATTTCACCAACATGACATTTGCCCAGTTAAATAAAAGTTTGAATGGTATGAGATTTAAATACGTAAGTCTCTGTAAGCAGTAAAAATAAGAGTCACTTGCTTGTGTGGCATATAAATAGTGGTTAGAGGCAGACACCCACTGTGGTTAAACCTTGCCAAATGTGAAATGATGCTACCTTTCATTTATCCCATGGTACCAAAAGAATCATCTTTGTAAAATATGCCACAGGTAAATAATGTCTAATCATGTTTAAAGGATCTGTAAAGGAACATGATACCCAGAATGTAAATTTGCACATAGAAGTCAGCAAGAGTGAAAAAGAAGAATCTGTTATTTTTTAAAAAGTACGTAACTGACATTTGTCTAACCATTTAATGCAACACAATGAATCTCTGTGGGTTTCTTCTATTTAATCTATCAGATTAAAATTCTTTGCCCAGAGAATGGGAGAAAAAGTATGACAGTTAAATATTTGTTGGA